GCACTTAGCTGTTTACCCGTACGTCTCTTAACCATACGATGGATATAAAACAAGTGGCGGTGTTTTGGCATGGCACAGACTATTTTTTTGTACCTCAACAACCACACAAATGTCTGCTCACAAATCATGGTGTTATCTGTGTCTTCAAGGTGATCTTTGGGATGGTACTTCACCTTACACTGCTCATCAGTATGATTTCGTATGTCTAAGCGGTCCACACATTTCTTCAGTGAATACCACATGTGAGACCACGGCGCAGGCAGAGGTGACCTGGCAACTATCATATTGTCCAGTTGGCACATGTTGTCATATACCACTGCAAAGTTGGACCATTGAGTTCTTGGGATTGATTTGAGATGTACATCTAACCACGATAGAAGAATGAGAAATACCATCGATGGTGATTCAGATCTGAATAAAGATAAAAGTATCCAAAAAATATACAAGTAAAAAATAACTGTTCATTAAATGTCACTGACTGCTTTAGGTTACATTAGATGAACCCTAAATCCACCACAATCTACATACATTTATGTGTCCACTTATAAAGATGTGCATGAGCACGTACATTTATCAAACAAAGACATATTTCATCTTATGAATAAGAGGTTAATTCTTGCCAAAAAAAAAGAGGTCAACAAAGTTAATTTTTCACAGATCATCTGTCCAGCCAATATTTCCAATTTGGTTGTATTGCTCATTTGAAAATGGACAAAAGTGTGAGGCAATAAGGTACAATGTAATGGGGAAAGTGTGCATATCAGCACTGCTTCCATACAATGTAGTTGTTGGAATAATAGCAATAGACCTGTGTACTCACGCTTTGTTTACATTTCTTATGGTAGGGAGCAGGGGACCTGGTTAACGAATTTGAAGCTCCATAGAATAGCACACATGTACCAGTAAAGCGTTGTATCATCAGTACAGGAGTGTATTTAAGCTTTGAAGCGTGTTTTTACACACAACATGTGACCTACGGTAACATTCTCGCTCGTTGATGGCCTCGATCCGTCGCTTGACTGTCACTGTTAGCACTGTCATCACTCCTGGAATGAACATATACCTGAAATGAGCTATTTCACAATTTAGTATTAACAGAGGAACTAACAGAGGTTAAAGTTTGTCTGAAACATATTTGTTTAAAACCACGTCGGCCGGCTGGAGCGGGTTTTTGAAACAAAAAAGGGTTGCAATAAATGCAAGACTGCTCTTGTTCAAACCCACTTCAGTCTCATTGTTGGTTTTGCCCTGGTGCAGTTCCAAATTCCAGATGTAACCAGTGTTGGATTCAGCAATGTTCCAACAGTTGAGGCCCCATTTCTGAGGTTTGTTAGATTTGTAAACCTTCATTGGGCTTCTAACTTTGAAGGGGATGATAGTCTCGTCCACTAAAATCTCCCGTCCGGGGTAGTATGCCGACTGCCACCGTGTCACCAGCATGTCCATTAGCTCTTTGATTTTCCCACGACGATCATGATTTGGTTCACCAGCTTGTGTCAGTTGCACATTGTCAGTAGTATGGAAGACTTGTAATATCAGGTAGAATCCATCACAAGACAGAAAGCCGCGGATACCTGCAATACCTCTAAATGATTTGGAGATATCTCTAAATATTTAGAGATGTCTCTAATTAGCTGGCGATAGCTGTTGCTTTGCTTGGCTTTGCATGTCAGTCTTACATTTTTCTCATCAAAATTATTGGTTCATCTTTGTGGGTATACAGTCCTCTATGTGACAAGATTATGATTTTTTTGCATGAAGGAGACCTGGGAATGGGTATGGGTATTGCCGCTGGATGAACTCATCTGTCCTGTGGTTTTTCTGGTAGATCTTTGATGTGCATGATCAACATTATCTGCAGTGGTCCAGAGACCATCAAGTGCTGCTACCCCATTTACTGATGGAGCTACATGTATATTGGATCTCATTTTCTTCTCTGCTGCTTCTTTGCGTTGCTGTTGAGCAACGTGCAGTGATTGTACCTTTCCAAGGCTTCAGATGACTGTTGCTTTGCCATCTTCATGTACTCAGTCTTTCCTCTTCAGAGAGGCTCCTCCTACATGTAAGCCTTTGTGGGGTCTAGTTATTTTTTTACTATAAAATATCTCCTGATACCTCAGGTGGTGCTGGGAATAGAACAAAGCGCAGAACTTTACCTTCCCTGCAATCATTGCTTCAGTGTTCTTTCACTCTCCTGTGCCAAGGAGCATCAGGGCATGTAGGAAAGTCAACGCCAGTTGCTGTATGTAAGCGTACATGTAGTTTGGGTCAAGGGCGCCTTCATTCCTCAACCAATAGCCATCTACCGTAGGCTCAATTCCAGTCTCGGAACAAATCTTCACATATGGGATGAGCAATTCTTTTGTCAAAGCAACATACAGTATTTCTAACAGATGCCAAGTTTTATGATGATTCGAGCCTTTATTACAGTACTGTTGAGCTTTCGGTGATATGAATACTAACGCATATATGCTACTTTCAATTTAAACACATGCCAGTAAAGATGTAGTGCAAACTTCTAGCTGCATTTGTAACAAAGAAAAATGGCTCACTTAATAATATTTATAAAAGTCTGGTCCAAATTGATGGAGTCACATAAAATTTAATAGCAAAACTGGGACAAATTTAAAAAAGGAAAGAAACAGACTGAATAGGGATGGAACTTCACAAAAACAAATTTAATCAATGGTTATCTGCAAGTTTTACATTCACAAAAAAAAACACAGGGAAATGACCTTCTTAATTAACCAAACTGGAATTTCAGATCAACCACTGAGGAACAAACACTTGAAATGTGACCAAGACAAAAACGTTTTGGAAAAAAAAACCCAGAAATTAATAAATTTGGAAAAAAAATCAAATAGGAAACAAAAAGTAAATAAACCCAACAAAAAACAAAAACGTTGCAACACAGTGTGTATAATAAGTAGACCTTTCAAGACACTTTGGAAGAAAATCAATGACTCTAGCAGATAAAACACTCACAGCGTAGGACACACCCAAGAAAAAGGGGAAAGAGAGGAACTCAAAAATGTAATGCTCTCTTTTCTGCTGCTGGTCTGCTACTCAGGGGTCTGTGGTCTTTCTTACAGGATGGCAGGGCACATGGTTTTAGGGGAAGGGGACCAATGGCATGTGTCTAATTTACATACAATGTGGACTTGTTACTGGGGAAAGCTAATCAGGGGGAAACACTACTAAAGTTAAAAGTTGAAATGAGGATCTCTTTCCCAAAAAATTGGTTCAATTTCTGGAATCCAGCATCAATAATCACAGAGCGTCTACGGTGAGGTGTTTCCACACACTTTTTTATTAGCGATTTACGCCCTTTATATACTTGTACAGGATTTACGGATGAAATTGAGGAAAGGAGTTTTTCTAAATAGTTCGGATGATTGTTCTAAATGTCATCAGAATAATTTTAGTTTTTAAATATTACATGATGATGTCATGACTGGTTACTGGCCCATCTGCATCTGCTTGATGACTTCATTGATGTTTCTATCGGAGTGGATCAGAGCTTGGAGAGATGAAAGGGTTGGGGACATCTAATAAAAACACTGGATTTTCTCAGGGGGGCTACTCCAATACTAAAGCATACAAAAGTACATTGGAAAAATGCAAGTTAAATTTGGCCCTGCCACACATTCATCTCCAAATGAAGAAGCCCCATGACTGCAACTCTATAGGTGATGTTGTACACGTTCGAGAAGGTAATCCCTCACAGCCCTATAGATGTGTACCTGCTCTTCGACGTTGGCATTTGTTTCTGGGTCTATGGGAAAATTGAAACGAAGCAGTGGTATTTCCTCCTCTGGAAGTGGTATGCAAGTTTCTGGAACAGTTACGGCATCATCATCACCTGCATGATGTTGGCCTGCGTCAACACTGTATTCATCAGTCTCGGCCTTTAAAGCCTTCACTCCACAACAAATAACCCTCTACCTTAGGCTCACTTCCAGTCTCAGAGCAGTTCTTCACATATGGAATGAGCAGTTTTTTTGTAAAAGCAAAATAAAGTATTTGTAACAGATGCCAAGTTTTTGATGATCTGAGCCTTTATAACAGTACTGTTGAGCTTTCGGTGACTTTCAGTAGGAATAGATGACTTACATGATTTTATCACAACCTACCTGCGTGTTAAGTTCGTCTATTGGGTAGCCATCCATTGCACCTGCCACCCACAATTGCATTGGGGTTCTGTTATGAGCAGTTCGGAGCTTGTGATGTATGTAAGGATTCTGGAAAAAGGTCAGGTGTACGTTGATCACTGGTAAGAACACATGATGTGTGCATTACATGTTGAACATTCATGCAATTGCCTTCTTAATAAGTGCCTGGACGTCCCCATTTTTGATCTAATCCATTGCTCCTATGGCATCAGGTAGGGACTAGTTCCCTCTCTTCACCCTGATGGATGCTGCTTGTTCCTTTGGAGCAACTCCAGTGACTCCTGTTAAGTTGGGCTAAAACTATAAGCACCCCAGGTCCAAAAAACTCACACACACCATCAGCACTCACTCTCTCTTGGTATTTATAATTCAATGCCTTCTTCATGAGAGCCTGAACGTCCCCATATTTGATCTTGTCCATAGCCCCTACGGCGTCAGGTACGGTCTTGTTCCCCCTCTTCATCCTGATGGACGACGCCTGTTCCTTAAGAGCAAACCCCTTGAGATCCCACAGCTGGGTACTGCTGAATCGCCCAAGGGGCAGGTGCCTGCGGATAGCCCAGCCTCGCATTCTGGGGCCATGAACATGGTGGATATGAACATGGATTTATGTCTACCGGTAGTTTTGTAATTGTGCTAAATTCAAATAAATCTTTCAGATCTGGTTTGGGAAGGTTCTTTTGGTCAGGTTTGGGAAGGTTCCTTGGGTCGGGTTTTGGAGGTTTCTTTGGATCTGGTTTGGGACAGTTCTTTGGCTTGGGTTTGGGAAGGTTCTTTGGGTCGGGTTTGGGAGGTTTCTTTGGATCTGGTTTGGGACAGTTCTTTGGATCAGGTTTGGGAAGGTTCTTTGGCTCGGGTTTGGGAGGTTTCTTTGGATCTGGTTTGGGACAGTTCTTTGGGTCGGGTTTGGGACGGTTCTTTGGGTTGGGTTTGGGAAGGTTCTTTGGGTCGGGTTTGGAACGGTTTCTTTGGATCTGGTTTGGGACAGTTCTTTGGCTTGGGTTTGGGAAGGTTCTTTGGGTCGGGTTTGGGAGGTTTCTTTGGATCTGGTTTGGGAAGGTTCTTTGGCTCGGGTTTGGGAAGGTTCTTTGGGTCGGGTTTGGGAGGTTTCTTTGGATCTGGTTTGGGAAGGTTCTTTGGCTCGGGTTTGGGAAGGTTCTTTGGGTCGGGTTTGGGAGGTTTCTTTGGATCTGGTTTGGGAAGGTTCTTTGGGTCGGGTTCGGGAAGGTTCTTGGGGTCAGAATTGGGAAGGTTCTTTGGGTCGGGTTTGGGAAGGTTCTTTGGGGCGGGCTTGCAAAGGCAGGAACAGCTCCAACAACAGTTCAAACATAATCTGTGGCTGAGGATTGAATCCCAACACTACTGGTGTCCTGAGTCCTATTACAAATTTGAGGATGTCCTCAATGGACACAAATTTCCTGCCATCTACATTACAAAGTGAAAAAGAATAAAGTACATTGTAATTAAACCAAGTGTTTCACTTTTTGGGACTTCCAATTCAAACCATGATTTACGTTATGTTTTATGCTGAGTATATAAAAATTGCCACAAGTTAAGTTTAACGGTGTACTTTTGCATTTTGTCCAGCTTATTGTGTAGTTAAAATACAAGTCCAGAAGAGTACAGGTAGCAATAATTTTTGTAAAGCTCCGGCAGATAGTAGCACTCAGCAACTGGCCACGTTCTGCCATCTGCTGTACACACATCAAAAGCATTAGCGAAAACCAATTTACTGTCAACTGTGTCTACATCATCAACTCTAAGCCAGCGATATGTGTTTGATGGCCTCTGCTCATAAACTGAATGACAGCTTTCTCTGATGATTTAACCTCCAGTACACTCCTGATAAACCACTCAGTTTCATAAGCGACCGCTACCCACTCTCCTTGTGAATGAAAACTATACGAAAATTCAGTGTTAAGTTCCGATAATGAATTATCTGTGCTCTCATGGGACAACCGTTGCTTTTTACTAGGTTCGGCTGGGTCTTCTGATTGTTTCCGTTTTTCCCAGCCTTACCCAAGTCAAGGTTATCATCAGTTGCTGAATCTATGGCATGCTCAGAGTTGGAAGTTGATTCTCCAGACATCTTTCAAATTTCTTTCAAGTCTGACATCAGTTCTTCGCTGTAGTAGTCAGAGCATCTACTTTTTCATTTGGAAACCAGAACAACAAAATTGGCAATTGTAAGAAATCCGGATGAAAATCTCTGCCCCATTGAATGATGCAGTGAGCCTCGTCTACTATTATATTTGACGCCTTTTCATAAGATCAGATTTTTGTGTCGGGGTGATGTAACTCAAATGCAGTTTTGCCTTTTACCGACGTATAAACACTGCATACTCAGTGTGTCACCTCCTTAGTAAACCCCGATGCAAAATTCCATCTTACGAATAGTTAATGCGGTTCCCCGCTGCTATGTACATCAGATTCGAACCAACCAACCAATCCCGTTAGCTTGGTGGTCAAGTGGTAAGACATCCCACCCGAGTCCCAACCCGAGTGATTTTTTTCCAACTTTCACTCGGGAGGTAACACACTGAGTATACAGTGTTAAAACGTTGTTGAAGGGCAAAACCAAATTTGATGTGACACCTTGCCTTGCCATAATTTGTCCTAGAAGGTCTCCTTCACCTGCCAGATCTCTGTGGTTGCATAATTTGGCTGAAATGGATGAATAGGAACCTGTTGTCACTACTGCAATATCAACTTGATTAAGAATTTTGCTGATGGCCTGCTTGAAAGCCTGCCATGTTGACACCCTTGCCACCCAATCTACTACCTTCACATGCACAATCTCTTTTGAGCATCTATCAGCTACAGTGTTTTGTGGTAGAGGCTTCAAAACTATGCATCTGCTCTTTCTTTTTCTTGTTTCTTTTTCTGTTTAGCTGGTAGATTTCCCCAATTCTTTCATGCCTTCCTGTTAGTGGCTGATGACGTTTTTTCGAGTGCGATCTGGCCGAGGCCATGTATCGTTCCTTTTCCTCAGTGAGAAGGCTTTATTACCAGTCCGGCGTCTTATTGTTAGACCACATTATTAATGCCTGACTGTCCTGGCCAAGGGCTTTTTTCTGACTAGCATATCTAAGTATGCAACGTCTCGCTCGCCTACCATATTGGTACTTAAGACACTTGAAGACTCGACTTGTGTTTCAGCAGTAGGCTTCCAATACTTCCCTCCTGGCAGCTGATCTTTGCACTGTCGCTGGAGAATCAGCAGGATTGCACAGCAGATGAACTCTAGTGCCTGGACGCACATTGCCTGCTCTTCCGCATCTTCACATTCCTCGAACAGACAATCATTTGCATCATCTTTAATGATAGGAGCCCCATCTATGGCTGTCTCACCGTGGAGCAATCCCAATGCATCATCTTTCCATGAAAAGAGAGGTGTCTGCAACAGATGAAGAACATCATTTATTGCAAGTACATTCTCTGCTCTTTTGACCATGTGCCAAAATGGACCGGTAATAACTTTGTGCACAACACCCAGTGCTCATAGCTCCGCCTGAAGTATTCTCTTGTTTGCATCTTCAGCCACGGCTAGCAGGGGAGAGTTAGGCTCTGTCAACATCGAGACAAAATTGACCAGGTGGTGCCGATGGAAATATGTTGCTGCTGCAGCCTCAAAAAGGATGTACGTTTGGTTTCCAACAAAGTGTACTAGATGATTGATGACGTTGTATTCGTTGATGAGGTAGGAAGTAAAGACATCCTCTACACTAGATTTGTCAGATCCAGGATGGTGATATGCTTTACTTGATTTCCCTTAAACCAAGGGGCAGTCTTTCATTCACTCGAAAACCTGAATGATGTAAATAAATAGGAAAAAACCAGGACATGGCGGGATTTACATGGAAAGCCACTCAACTCGATGCGTTTGAGACCCATGTAGCATCAATTCCCTGAGTGAGAAATTAAAGTCGGACGTCATCCAAACATGACTTGTTTTGTGATTGAGGCTTCAAAGATATGCATCGGCAATGGTACCAGGTGTTGCATTTATCGCAGGCAATCATGCTTCTTGATTCATTGTTGGGTTGTCTGCAAATGCAGTTAGGTTCATGCAAGTCTTCTGAATATTCCATTGTGTCACTGCTTATGTGTGACAGTGATGTGTTATCAGCTCAAGCATTGTCATATTAGGATTCAATGTGAGGTTTTAGGGACTCCATAATGACATCTTTTAAGGACATCTTCTATACATCTCCGTTGTAGTTCTGATGGCATTCTTTGGAAAGTTTGCAAACAATTTCTTAATTTTCACGAACAGAGCAGCCTCATTTTTTTTAAACACCCCTTCACCATAATTACATCCATTTTTGCGTCAACAAATCTGACAATGTCCAAATAACGCCAAGTTTGTCCATATTTGACTTATGCATAATGTAACTGGGAACCGTTGCCCTCCGTGAGATTCGTTGCTAGCAGAAGAGCACTGAACTACTGACCTGAAAGCTGCCATTCCAGAGATTTAGGTGTGAAATTGCACAGGACTTCAAAATGGAACTTTGATTACAGAGTTCCGCCATCATGGGATTGCAGGAGGCGAGCGAAGCCTACATGTACCTCGTCGGACTCTTCGAAGACACCAACATGTGCGCCATCTATGCCAAGGGGGTCACCATCATCCCCCAGTTGGTTGCCAAATTTTTGGTGAACGGGTGTTGTGTGTGGAAAAAACCCCAAAACTTATGGCTCTTTTCTGAGCCACCATTTCTTCAACGTAGAGATTAGGTCCAATCAAGTTTTCTGGCTTGAAATTGCCTCTTAGGCAACTTAGCGCACCATGTCCAAAACGGTTACATTTCCTGCACTTATGTGCGAATTTACAATTCAACCAGTGGCAACCTTTCTTCTGGGTAAAGGCGAAACAGAAGCCAGCGCTTTTGGAGTTATGATGCACAAAACTGATGCTTGAATAAGGTGGTGCAGATGGAGTGGATGGCAGCGCCTTCTGCCGTAACCCACAATACCATGTCAATAGCCCCCCAGGAATGGCTCGGGTTAGCTTCTTGGCACAAACAAAACTGTTCATCATACGCACGCCATCCCAAGCTGCTAAACCGGGAGGCAGCCATCCTCACCGTCTCCGTGTATTTGAGTAGTTCGCCTACTCGGAGAGGGTGGCACACCGCATAAATTGCCGTAAATGTATGAAAGGCTTTTAGCCATTTATCAATGCTATCAAATTTCTTTTTCAAAGACTCGGGCTTACAGACTATCATGCCATATTTTCGCAACAACTTACAAAAAGGGTTTTTTATTTGGCAGGATTGTAAAAAGTAAAGACAGATCTATATACTTCCCACTCCATATTTTCTCTTTAACCCGGTTGGGTACTTGAAAAAACGGGGTCAGGCCTAAGCAAAGACTGGTCAAGTGCTGGGGCCACTACAGGCCAAGTCTCCTCAAGCTGGATGACGGAACTGTCAACCTATGCATTACTAGTAGTACTACTGCTACTAACTAGTGAGCCAATTCGATCAGTCATCGCTGGCTCTCAAAAAGAAGAGCGTTCAATGTTTATTGCAGGCAATGATGAAACCTCAGACTCACCCCGCCTTGCTCATTGGCTCTATCAGCTGCTCTGGTTGTTCCCCTGCCTGGCTGCCGACGTCCTACTAATGGTGTTGGCACATCATCAATCCTTACACGACGTTCCCTCACCCCAGATTGCATTGCCAGCATACGGGGTCTCCCACATGGCCTCTTGGCAATTATGCCGGCATCCATCAAGCTTGCAGAAGCCTGAGCTGATTACCAAATGGTTTTTGGCGTCTTCGAAAATTGAGTTGGTAGTTCTTCCTCTTCGTTGCTGTCACTGATCCATTCCAGTCTCTTTCTTCTTGAGTGTACTGCTTCTAAGTGGAGGTAGGCAGCCAAAATGCTGAGACACCTCTGCTTCATCACTGTCAATGATCCATGCTGGTCTCTTTTGTCTTTGTTGTTGCAACATATTGATTAAGTGAAGACTTGCAAGGACTAATAAATGGATACCCTCTTCATCTGCAGTTGAGTCTCAACAAGGCAGAGTTTGTAGGAAATATACAATTTGTGTGTAATCACTCACAACATGCATGTATTTGCTGTTATACACTTGTTTCAAAGGACAGTCTATTTCCTTTCCAAAAAATTGCAGCTTGTCTGATTGAACTTGAGAAGTTATTTGTCAGCAGAATATGTTGCACATAAATATGTTCTGTGCGTATAAAGTATTCCAATGCCTTTAATAAATAGCAGGGTTTAAAATGCAGGGATTTATGGGTTTGTTTTTTCTTACGCCTACTCACTTTTGTTTGTTGGCAATTCCTTCATCGTCTGTTGCGATGTCAGATCTTTCGGCTGCCTTCATAGCTTTTTGAATTTCCACAAAAAGCATAAAATGATATGACGCATTAGTAGGTATTTGACAATTACAGTCCGTGTGGCCAAGTAAGTTAGAATGTTAATCGACAGTGTACAGGAGTATAACCTTCACTTCACGACAAATTATTAAATCCGTATTTAAAGACATCCAATATTAAATGTTATCAGGTAATAAAATGAAATGAATCATCGAGTATTACTTACGACATTTGCACAGCAGGCAGATTTTGAATACTATCCAAGTCTGAAGGTCAGAATAATTTGGTCCTGATTGCCTTAATAAGGGCAGGAGTTGACATGAACGGGGGCCACAAGAGTATTTGGGTCTGATTGCGTCAACCATTTTGTTGGTACCAATCAGGCCGTTACCGCCCATTACCATGTACGTTGAGCTGGCTGTGCATGTATAACGGTTGACAGTACAAAGTCAATATCGATGTGATGCAGGCTATACCCACTGCTTAACGGAAACCAGTAATTTACAGTATAGCCGTTACTGGTCGGTTCCAATTAGCCAGCACTAGGCCGATTGCGGTAAGTTTTCTGTTTTTGTTTTTTTGGTCAGACTACATGTACTTGTTATTCCTTGCTTGTTTTGGCCAAATCAACTTCAAGCATACTCCATTAGAACCCAGTGCATTGCATAATTGGACTTGCGATCAAAAGTCATCAATTCTGCTTGGTGTCATTCATTTACCCGTACTTCAAATTCTCACAGATAAATTTTGTTTTTCTAATTCGAAATCTTTCCATACATGCACTTACATTCATGTATAGTACATGTTGGGCCTAATGTGCTGGTGTTGCAGGACATGTCTTGTTGCATTTTGATGGATTTATGCAGTTAAGAAAACATTCCAAGAGTTACATTGTGCAATCTAGTCCTTGAGTAACTTATATATTTCTCAATCGTTAAATATTATTGCTTGGTACCAAGAGGAAACTTACTGCGGGGAATAAAGGGAAGGGAGAGAGATTTATCCCATAAAACTTGAGACTATTCATTATATTTTACACTGTGTATTGATGAGATTTTTACTCGATAAACACCTTTTTTTCCCCCTTCTTTCCAATGCATACAAATTGTAAAAAAAATAATGGAATAAGGGAATAAATAATTAATTACATAAAAGGGACACTTCCCGGACAGGGGGCAAATTTCATGTATTTTTTAAATTTTTTATTAGTTTATTTATTTTAGTTTTCTTTATTCCACTGAATGCTATAATAGGGCGACACACCTTACTATAAAGGTGACATATAGCTGTCGCCCTTTTCTTAAAACGACCCTTAGGACAAGGAAATTTTATCGTCGCAAACCATCTAGATTGATTCCTTGTGGTCCAATTAGTAAACTTGGGTTAATAGGTGACAGGTTAGGTTTGTGCACAAGTCAGTGGGAAAGTCGCCCTATTATAGCATCCTGGATAATTATTTTTAAATTTGTATTATTATTATGATTATAATAACAAGTATACCCTTTGGGAGACACTTTAGCGTCATAAGCTATACCTTTGGGAGACACGTCGAATTAGGGAGACATTTCAATGTCTCCCTAATTCCATCTCCCCTACTTAGAGTCAAAATTTTAATGTTGCAAACAGGCTAGATCGATTGCTCGTGGTCCAATTAGTAAAATACTGAAACTCATGGGGGTGGGGTAGGATAAGGTAAAATTGGGGTAAGGGGTAATTAAAGTTGGGAAAAAATGTGTGCACAAGTCTATGGGAATGTCTCCTAATACTCAATTATTGGTAATTATTCTTCTTCTTCTTATTTCTTTTTTTTTTTGGGGGGGGGGTTATAGGGCACTGGAAATTTGTGGGGGACACGTGCCCCTCCCCCTCATCATCAAACTCCCCTTGGCGAATGCCACTGGATTGATAGTGCAAGGTAGAATCAACAATCTAATGAATGTAGCGTATACCTACATGTATAAGGAACCATATTTTTCTGAAGTCTGATTGAAAAGTTTTGTTTGTGGTTACTGCTAGGCATGCCTGCATCTTCAGTCATATTACTGTGTATGCAAATGGTTTAGAACAGAAATTCCTGACTTGGGCAATTCAAGTCGGGAAAAGACCTGAATTGTATGCAATACAGGTAGACATGAGTCAGCTTTGGAAGATCAACTCTCCAGTCAACGCCGACTTCATTAACCCCTACATAGATGAGCACTTGCATCGTTGGAAATTGAGGTAATGGAATTGGTTGGTCTGACCATCGCAATCTGAGTGGCCAATTTAATGAAGCTGCTAAGCACAACAATTTGTAGCAAAGTGATTTTATGGCAAACTGTTTTTATCAAGGATTTCAATGCTTAGCAGCTCCAAGGAATTGGCTCTTGCTCAGAAGAAATTTTTGATCAAAAACACTTAACAGGAGTGTTAAGCAGAAATTTGAGACAGTGTTGTGCATGGAGGACTACACTTCTTCAGAGGAGGAACTTGGAACTGTGTGAGGCAGTGGCTTTTCTCAACCAAGACATTCTGTATTGCAAATGTTTCTCAATTGCCTATGAGCAATGAAGGCCTCAAACAGTTCAATGCAAGGGCTCTATCCATTGATTAGAGACATGACAGCTCTCTCCACCCAGTACTGCTTGCAGACTTCATCACAATGACGCTAAGACAGCTCAGCGTTTGCAGCGTTTTCCATCCAGCAGCACCCGGAAGCTTCAGATGCATGTACATGCAACTTGCACTGTTATCATGATTTCATCTTTCCTCAAAGCAGCAAATGAAGACGTGTAACATTTGTCATGTCAACATTGCTTCATCAGTGGAAGTTCTAAAATATCTCTACTCAATAACAAATCCAGATGGGCTCTTGCTGTCAAGCTGCAAAATGAAACAAGTGATGATTGTAGTTTTTGTGAAAGAGCGAAGACAGTTTGTCACAGTTTCATCTCATCACTCTGAACAATCAGCAACTGAAAAATGCAGTGACAATGCCTTCATCCCGCTACTGTGTGATGGGAGAGCAGTGAAGGCTTCATGCCCAGCAACCAATCAAGACCTGTGACTGTTTATGATAAGACTACATCTCATCACTCCGACCGACCAGCATCTGACAAAAGCCTGCATCACTCCATGACAATGCCTGGACTCCCACTGCCGTGTAATGGGAGAGCAGTGACAGCTTCATGTACTTCAACATCCTT